CGTGTATATAACTTGTCCAAGGCTCCATTATTGTACACTGCACACTATAGTAGTCCGTTCTAAAGTATTGCTTTATTATTGGATGTTGTTTCATAGCTCTATTGATACAATACAGTAGATATAACTTGTCAAAGGCTTGTCATTGCACACTGCATGGTGTAATTGTCAATTTCAGAGTATTCCATAATATCGCGTTATAGGTCTCATTTCATGCTTCGTTTTTAATACAGAGCTTGGTATATAAGGTTCCGGCATTGTACATTGCATGTTGTAGTGGTTATTTTCAAAGAAAAGCACAATATTGCGTTATTAGTTTTATTCACGCTTCGTATTATAACACAGAGCTTCGTGTAAAAGGTTCCATTATCACACTGCATGTCAGTTCCAAAGTATTACTTTCTTATGGGTTGTTGTTTCATAGCCCGTCATTGATGCAGTCGTATACAAATATACAAATTGTCTGTGATATCATTATTTATCATACTAAAGTGTAGGAGTAGGTTATTATCAGTTTGGCATTTCAAAATCCCAATGCTAAATATGTTTCAGCTTCATAATAAGGTTCTTTGTATTGGTCAATTGTTTTTCAAGATTTTATAGAAACAGCGTTTAGCTACAGAGTAAAAATTTGTAGGTGGGAAAAACAAAGCAGGGTCTTTGTATTTATCAAAAACACTAATCAAAGGAATGACAAACCAAAAACAGTTGATCATCTGATCACGACTCTAGGACTTGTCTAACTCGGGAAAACTATTTTAAACGCAATTCTTTGTAGTTCTAAATATACGAGAGAGAGAGAGAGTACAAAAATCAATTTTTGGAAGAATATTTGTCGATGACGTTTGAGAGGATTACATTAGCCTCTTTGGAATCTTGAGATTTAATCTCTATAGAAGATTTTAATCTGGCCATTGTACCAATAAAATATCTCACAAACTGTTTTTGTACAATTTGAAATTAATTTTAAGGCTTTTGTTGTATTTTAATTAAACTTCGTGTTGCAGCACTAATCAAAGTGTAGAGAATTTAGCGTATTTACTCACTTCTGACGAAACTGTCGTGAGAGACTGCTTAATTCTTTATTGGTGTGTCTCATCAAACAGCAAGCAGGAAGCATGGTTCTGACGTAACATGCGTTATATCTACCTATGGGAATATTAAAGGGAATACATGAATATATATATGTATATATTATAAAACATACCTTAAGTACCTTGGGATAAAACGATAATATAATTCTCTTTTCAAATTGATAATGCGAGACCCTATTTGTCTACAATTCAAACCTGCGGTTGTTTAATATTTAAATGTAGAATTTTTTCATAATATTTGATTCCTGTTTTCGAGGTATCTTTTTTGTGTATATGTATATGAAAACGTTATTGTTTGTAATAAAAAGCAAACCTCCTCCCTCGAAATCGTAATGTTTTATAACATCTTCCCAAACAATTCCACCACTTCTTGAATCCAGATTGGCAAAACTCGAGGCGGAAATATTTGTTGAAAAGTTGAAATCGTGTCTAATTTATGTGGCTTGAACACAGAAATCAGCCTCGACAACAGTCACTTCAATTTGCCATCAATTATGGACGTTGAAGGCATACAAAAAACAAGTCCTACTTTATCTGTCAAAATTCCTCAATTTATGTTTTTATTTTTAACTGACGCTTTCAATCTTGTTTCCTGGATCTAGGGACCTCTGGAACAGCTTTTCAGTGTTTAATATAAGAATTTACTGCTAGATTGACAAGGTTAAGATATTTGAAATGTAGGGTCACTGTAACCGAATCTTAAGTGTTTTTAGTCTGAAAGGACATCTATTACAGCATGATGTGTTTTTAAGTTTCGAAGTTTCCTTCAGAGCTGTTATTGGCATTGCATTCTGATTTTACGGTAGTCTTATAAGGAGGGATATTGTCAAGGAATATCTGTGCATTATATATACGTATCTTTGGTTAAATCTACACCGTAAGCACTGGCCGCGGCATCATTACCATTTTAAAATCGACTTATCAAAAAATGGTTTAGTAGATTAGCAATACACATATACGATTTTTTTCTTCCATTTCAAATGGATGTAATAACCCTTCTCTTTCAGAAAGCCATTAAGCATCCAAGTCTAATTATTATGGTTACAATACCAACATAAGATAACCCAATAAACCATTGCCATTGAAGTATATATACTTAGTTTCCGTGTTGAAAAGATCCCGGGTAAGCAGACATCGCAAACATCATTGATATCATAATTTCCTTAAGATTGATACTGAGAGTGGTTAGTGTGGTTACTATGCATCAGAAGGCACTGATCTTATGTTTAGGTAACATATCGTAATTAAATAAAAAGTCCAGAAGTAAATATACTAACGTATTTTTTGAGGAGATTTCGTGCTACACTTATCTACAATGAGGACTACAGTTGCTTCTGATGGATATTTAAAGTGATTGTGTTAAACATTCCATACAAAGTATGTTATGTGTTCCCCAGAATAGGTACATAAAGTTGAATATTATAAAGTACATTAAAAGAATATTACAGGACAACTCTGTGTCGGACCAATTCGTAAAGTTATCAGATATCACGAGAGTAATATTTATATACTTTCATCAGCCCATTCGCAAACCGAAGTACTTGTTAGTAATAAATAACAATTTTGTTACCTTTGCACCAAAATATTCCATTGTTTTATCATGCTTTGATGCTCGATTTACTCATCTGAATAATTAAGTTTCTAGCTTTATAGGCCTATATATGCTTAATTGGAGAAAAGAAGTTGCAAAGGTCGCTTGTAACTATCTAAGTTTTTCAAGAAAACTTTGACGAAGAAAACTTGATTTTCGGATGATTTGTCAAGGAAAGGGTGGGAATTAAATGGTTTATGATTTATATAGTAAAACGATGGCTAACTTAGCTTTTTAAATCCGTGCTTTTTGTTTTGTAAAAAAACAATTGCACCAATTCCAAATCAATTAATTAATCATATCAAAGTCCATCCCAGTTTTTAGAAAAATAGAATGCGATTCTATTCCATCAAAGTCTTTCAAAGTTGTAGATCAAAGTTTTTTTTTTTGACCTTGAAAACTTTGATAGCCATAACCTCACTCATGACAGTGACCAACATGATATATTATCAAATAGCCCACTTTTGTATGCAAGCTAAACGTTAGATAAAGTTACGATTAAGTCGGACATAATATAGTAACGAAAAAGTCGGACATGATCTTAACTTTATTTGATAAGCACGGTTTCTGCCATAGCCGAATTTAACCACGTATTTGTACATGCATATTCTGGAGTTTTAGGTTCGTATCATGCATTTTATAAAAAGTATAAAATTCGACTCTGGTAGATCGAGTCATTCATTCAAAGCTACGAAATTACAAAAAACAAACAAACAGCAACAATCAACGTTGAGAAGGACTGGACTATAATTCATGTCTCAGTTGGAAATTATATAAAACCATTTTAAGTAATTGTGTTGTTCAAAATTTAGGTATTAATATCTATACTCATGAAGCATAGGTAAGTACCTCTAATACCGAAACATATGTCATTATTTCAGCCTATGATAGCTATTTGGACGGTTGTCGGTTGTCCCACCGCGACTAGCATCCTCTAATATCCACAAGGGGAGCCGAGGTGCTCAAGGTGTTCTCTGATAGCGTAAAGATTTCTCGGTGTTTTTGTTAACGTTTTCTTCTTCACAGGCTCAGAATGGATCCATCGCCTCTAATTCCCGTAGAATATTATAGATATATACTAACTGGACTTTTTCTGTATTTTCTGTGGTGTAATATTACAATTATTGTGACCCTAATCACACTATCTATAGCTACTTTCTATGTTACCAAGTTTTATTTAAAGAGAAATAAACCCAAGATAAACGTGAAAGGCAAAGCAATCTTTATAACTGGTTGTGAAACTGGTAAGTTACAGTCACAACCGAAAGGCGTCCTTATTGATCTGCTACGGCGACGAAAAAATAGCATAGCTCGGAGCATAAGGTCTTCATGCAGTGGTATTAGCGTCAGATATCGTAGGTGGGAGCTATTATCGCCAATAATCGCCGTTGAGATCTCCATAGAATCGAGAATGTCTCTAGACAAGCGTCGAAATATCTTCAAAGTGAAGCTCATATGTTCTATAACAAACGTGCCTTGGGAACGCAATATTGCCGCATAGCAGAATGTGTGCTACTGTTAGAATTTTTCAGGCATTCAAGTATATTTTTCGTCGCCGTAAGATCGCAAATGGTCGCATTACGGTGTGACGGGACTTTAAAGAATATTAATATACGAATTTATTGTTAATCAATTATTGTGCAGAAAAAAAAATAAGTGAACTGTCTACCACAACTGGAGATCTTATGGTCCTGAAAGAGTTAATTATTAGATTAGATGTCTACGTTAGTGCTAGTCGTTGACATTTTTGTGATTTGTTGAACGAAGGAGCAACTGATTCTTCAACTGGCATCGGCTGCTTATTTTGTACTTCCAATCAAAAATTACGTCTTATCATCGACCTTAGAGGTCGGATTCTAAATCATCCAGTCGATAGCAGATGCCTGTAATCGGTCAAAGTTTCAAGGTACTTTGAGTCAAACCACTTTTAATATTGTTTTTAATTGGTTAGCATACATCGTGACAACTCCACAGAACAAGATTTAAGGAATATTCTTTTCAGATCATGGATGGCAAGTGAAGTAACCTGCAGAAAAACTTATCTTCCAGATCCGAGTGTCGGAATTGTGACTATGGGTTTCTATGGATGTCGGGGCAAGTAATATATCTGGATGGGCAATAGTGTTTAATATTTGGTTACAGTAATGGAATAGGAGGGTTGTTAAAATTCTTACAGGGTGCCCCCAACCCCAACCCCATTGAATTAGGTATTACTATATTCATAACAACATCTATCTGCGATTTTACAAGTGTGTGTTGGATTTTTCCATGGAAGTATATGAACCATTTTACTGAAAATATGTTATTTAGAAGTGGAGTTATGGGGAGTGGTGAATAACGCTGGAATAAACTTTGTTGGTCCAATAGAATTAACCAATATACAGCAAATACACAGAGTTTGTGATGTTCATCTATTTGGTACTGTTCGTGTTACAAAGGCGTTTTTACCCTTACTTCGTCAATCTAAAGGTAGGGTTCATCCTCTACGCATTTGGTAGTAATACTGAGTGTATATTACCATAATGAATGCGTTTTCGGATGTATCTGATATATTGGGTTGCCCAAGAAAAATGATAACACTTTCCACATCAGGATGATTTATAAAGTATCAAACCTAACATTTTTACGGCGTAATCATAGAGATATACGATATCCTTTCCGTTCTAAAGGTTGAACAACTATGGAAAAATTTCCTTTTAAAAAGGTTCCAGGAAAATTTTACTTAAAAATATGCCTTAAATTTAACGCTATATAGCTGTCAGTAAAATTGTCACTTGAAAGTGAAATTCTTAACAATTAAGTTGGACTTAATAGAGAATTTAGCCAATGCTGATTGGATGTAAGTTTCTAAAACTATGTAAAACCATTGACATTCTAGGTCGCATTATAAATATGTCAAGTTTAAGAGGGGTTACATTGAGAGCGAAGTTAGCGGCGTATGGAATGTCTAAAGCTGGAATAGAAACATTTTCAGACTCATTGAGACTAGAAATGGCACGGTTTGGTATTAAAGTCAGCATAATTCAGCCAGGAAATTTTGGTCAGTGTACTGCCATTGCCAATAAAGATGTGGTAAGATTTTTCCTCTATAAATAATTCGCAGATATCACTCCTATAGATACATGTTAACAATACATGATGATATATGATATACAAAAGCGGGTTTTAGTTCCTAAATCACCATGGTGATTTTATTTCAATCGCACAATCTCTGCATAGTCGAATCAACTACTACTTGATGAGATATGTAAAACTTATACAACATCACTGCAGGCAATAATTATATCAACCACTTCTGCTATATATTCTCATTGCTCTGTTTTTTTTTGTATCTTTGCTTATCTTTGATAAAGACGAAAGTACCTTTGTCAGAAAGTCGCTTGTAATTTTTTCAAGTAATTGTTATCCATATAATTGTTTCCATTATTCATTATCCAATTACTAACTATCACTTAAAGTACTTATACAACAGTTTAGAATTACCATATCTCTTTCTCATTTCAGCTAGATCATAACAAGAAAATGTTACATGATGAATTTGAAAATTCTTCTGAAGGTGTGAAATACGCCTATTGTAAATATGATATTGATAGCATCTTTGCTGCTAGCAATCGCCCCTCTAATTATAAGGATGCACGGAGCAGCTCCGAAAATACGCTACCAGTTGTAAATTGTATAGCCAATTGTTTGGTCGATCCACTACCTAAAGAAAGATATATTATTGGTGGAACTAGAGGATGGTATGATCCCAGATCGGTAAGAAGTGACAATCTTAAAATCAGTACATGTTAACATGTACACTGTAGAATACCTCTGGTAGTCAGTGAACGATTTGATCTTTTCAAAACCAAATAAATTGTATTTAGACGGATAAATGATAAGAAATATATATTGGTTTCTATCTCGGAATACGACGGGACACGTTTTTGTTCATGTATTATTATTATGGGTTTAGCAAATCAAACCTAATCAGCAAACTGAATTGTAGAGTACTGAGTAGACAAAATATGTCATGATTGACAGTTTCCAATTAAAGGGACAGATGCGCCATTTTTTTTTTCGATCAATCGTACCTTAGTCTCGGGAATTTTCTAACTGAACCAATTAGTAATAGTGTTCACAGCTCACCGTCGAAATTTGAGCCTTTAAATCCATATACATGTATGTCCATAATAATTATTCGCATTTGAATGTTAAACTGATGGCTCGTCATTTTAAGATACCCTGTGATAGGAAAGACATATATAAAAATATAAAATTCATAGTTTGAAGTATTTTTTTAAGAATTATGCGATGTTATGACATTTCTGGTATTTCTGAAGACTATTTACACATATTTAGCACTCAAATCAACCCCCAAAAGAGCGCATCCCTCCATTTAAGAGAACATAATCCAGCTCGTTTTTTTTTTTAATATATCGCTTAATAACTTTCAACAACGGTCATCGGTCTCATTTAAAGACCTTTCTATGCCTCGAAACCCTACTGTTGACTTATACAATAATTGGTTTATTTATTAATGAATAATTTCAGGTTTGTGCCATTTTGAAACCATTTTTACCAGATAAATATATGGATATGGTCATAAATTACTATTTTTAAATGGTTTCTGGATCATTTGAATGAAAAGGATCCTCAAACGAAATCCAGATTGTTTGTACATGTGTACATGTCGAATACTGCTTATTAAAACTAATACCTCAGTTAATACTGTTGTTGATGTTAAGAAATATATCCCTATCTATGGCTCACTATGGGTGGAACAGAAACCAATACATACAGTAATGTATAATAAAACCCTGAAACAACACTGCAAAGTCACCGAGGTTTTAAAAAAAAATTTTTAATGCTTTTTTTCTGTTATAGATACTTCAAATAAGTCAAGTGTCAGCTCTCAAAATCCAAAATAACCTTTTTACAGCATTTTAGGAAGCGTGTTTAATGCGTATCTCCCATTCAATATTACCGAGTTGCACCGAGAACTTGTAACACTGGCCTTATCTTTTACTTCCGAGATTTGGAATATTGGCTTGAACTTGATTGAACTTATGGCAATGCCATGCAGTGTGTAATGAAGGAAATTTTGCTAGGTCGGCCTCTATCTTTGCTACTAACGTTCTATTATACGCTAAAAAAAAAACAGGGTGGTTCAACAATAGATTTATAGATCTCGAGATTTAGAATGTACTTTTCTCTTTTGACAAAAACAGATTTTTACTTTGTATTGAATTGCGAGCTCTTATCTATCGCTGATTAAAATAGAAACATTTAAACAGTACAACGAAACTTTCTTTCTATGGTCTATTGAGTTACAAAGATGTGTCTGTTTTTAAATTGATGACAATTATCAAAAAGCTACGAAATGTTCAATAAGCGTTTGAAAATGGTCGAATAACAACCTATTAATGTAAAAGTTATGTAAGATAAAAGACATAGAAGACTCAGACACGCGACAAAGAATTAAAAATAACTCAGAAAGCTTCTTGTTACCATCCAATATCATTACATAGCAATATGTAGTTAAATGTTGCAAAACAAGTCGATACCACCTGTTAATTTTGATCGTATTATATTCTTCTTTTTATTCTAAAAACTAACTATACTTTACTACGCTAATCAACACATTAAAATTTAAAATCAGCGGAAGTTACCATATTCGATACCATTCATCAGTAGGAAAATTTAGTAGAAGATTTTATCAGTCTGACAGATAGCCTGAAAGTTACAGTTTTCCTTCCGATTGTTAGGTATGTACCCGACGGTAACATAGGTCATAATCTAATATTATTGATAATGTCGGTAAGGATAAATATCGTGTTCAATACGAACACTGCTTTTTGCATTTTCCGATCTGAACCAAGCCTGGTTTGAGGGTGTATTTAAACGTAAATGTCATCGCCAATGACTCTATTGTACAATATTTCTATTATAATACCTTACAATACAGCGTTGTAATAATCTGGAATTAGAGAGGATTGCAGTACTACGAAGATTCAAGCCGCAGGCTATAATATGCTACATATTGTTTGTACGATAAGACGGATGTAATAATGATGTTATAGAGTCTAACATGCTTGTGTCGTGTTGCTTCCAAGTCAAAATCTTGTTATTTTTCCAACTCTCTAAAGAAGAAGATCAATAAGACATCGTTGTCTTATTTCTCCTCTTTTTCTGAAGATTCTCCATTATTCTGCACAACCATAATTTAGTAAAACTAAATAACGTTTAAATTCCAGTTTGATGTTTTAAAACACGTTCCCCCGATATTTAAAATTTCTGGAGAGTTGCTTTTACAGGTTTCAGATTCAGAATCAGATCAGATTTATTATTCCAGTAAACATGTATTCTTTTGCCTAATTTTGGCGAATGACCGAAATAGTGCAACTCTTAGTAATTGGCCCCGCCATCATAAGTCCATCAGAAGACGGGTAATACCATAGGCATTCACCTATTCTGTTCAGACTTGGAATCCTTGTTAATAAGAACAACTGAAAAATTTTGTTTCAACACTATGTTGAAATTGTCTTTCGAGGCTGAGCATCACAACGAATGTGAGAAAATGTAGCAGTGGTTTAGTTAAACTGTTGATGGTTTTGTGTTCAGTTCCAGGGTTTCGTGGCAGTTGCAGATGGACTCGCAAATAAATATTTTTCCGTTATCTTTGAAGCGAATTACAAAAGCGTTTTTTGTTAACATGTTAGTGACCATTCTGTGGAGATCAAATTATAATCTAGTATAACAAGGACTAAATCTTTATTTTCGAAGACGTCCTAAAAATCTGGAAGTAAGATAATTCTTGTGCACGTATTTTTGACAAAACGATAACACTGAATAAGCAACTACTTCCATTTTATTAACCATTAGAGGCATCCATCTTGAGTGGATAGAAGGTTGTGTAAATCGTCACTCAAACAACTACAGGTTGTCGCTCGATCATCGTGTAACAGTAATTTAAAAGGCTTTTTAAATGTCATGTTAAATGTAGTCTTGACATAAGTGCTTGCAGTTTCTGCTCTAAATCATAATTTTATAGACAAAAAATGAGAATAAACAGCGATTTAATAGTCGCCCTCGCAGCGATTTTACATAGTCTTGTTTTCATTACAGTTAACACGAAACGCCGTAATCTTTTTTAATTTTGATTCAAATGAGGATTCTAACGGCTCTGATGTAATTTTCTAAATTAATGTTGATTCCGCAAATGACGGATAATTTTTCCCCAAGATGATAAACAGTATGTGACTGAAAAACAACTTAAACATTTTTACTAAACATGGTTGTGACTATTGACATCCTAATAGACAATCGATGTACATTGCAAACTGGCAAAGGACGCCAACCAAATAATATTTCAAATCCTGTAACTATTTCAACACCATCAGCCACTCAATTTGCAGCAGGTAGATAAACTCCACACTCACTTTGCAAACTTCTCCAATAATGATATGTTTTCAGTTCCAAAAGCAAATTAGAGGCAAGTCAATTCCGATTTGACCAATTGCACCCAATCTTTGATAAAAAAAAACGAACTTTTTAAGAGATCATTTTAATGAAGTTTATCAAACCTTCCAGAGTGCATAATATCAGTATCAATCCAAAGGGTCCCATTTTTAGATTATATTAGGTATTCGTTTGGTCCATTTTATTAATTCTGCATATCTCATTATTTTCATTGGCAAAGTTAGACAATTAAATTTACCTTCTTGAACATTATTGACTGAGGTATGAAACTAATGTACAAAATAGCTTTTTACAGAATATTTGAATAAAAAAAAATCATATCAGTCTAACTTTGTTCTAGTTTGTTTTATTCTGATTATTTTAATGTATTGTACGTTCTCTAAGTTGTTTACGTTCTTGTCTTTGTTCTTTGTTCCGTTTCATCCCGGGACCAGATCACAGGACACAAAATATCAAGGACACCGGAAAAGAAAGTGTTGAAATGTTCTACATGTTCTACAAGTTCTGCATTAGAAAACTATGGAACTCTTTCCATGCCTACCACATTGATTTTGTTGGAAATATGAATTTTGGATAAGTTTGGTTTTGTTTCTCTTTGCTTTTAAATCCATTGAAACACTGGTGGGAATTCATAC